TGTGAGCAGCCGGGAAGTGACACCAGCCCTCACACACGTGACAGCAGACGAGACCAAGTTGGTCACATTCAAATCCTTCCTACACCTCCGAATACCTCTCTTATCTCCATGACTAACCTTCCTCACGCCTCTTTATCATCTCGCACCGCTAGGGCAAACGATTCGAGTACGTGGAACGCTATTCCTGTTCTCCTGAAACCACGCTCTAAACTACACGTAGGAGCTTTTAACGTCCGAACACTGTGCCAAATAGAACAGCAGGCTTCCTAAGCTAGGACATCAGAATCTCGGGCCATCGGTGTGTGCTGCGTCTCCGGAACGCACATACAGGATCCGAGTAGCATCATTCACTTGACCTCAGCATATCAAAATAAAGAACCAACTCGATTTACGCTTCGTGTATCTGGAAGCCCTGATGCTGCTTCTCGTGGCCTCGCCGGCGTAGGTATAGCATTGAGTCCTATGGCAGAACTAGCTCTCTTAGAGTGGATCCCAGTAGACAGTCGTTTGTGCGCTGTCCGACTAAACGGAACAGTAAGGAGTCGGAAAGATAAGGGCACTCGTCGTTGCCGCTTTGTCGTCTCTGCCTATTCTCCCACTGACTGCAGCTCAGATGATGTAAAAGATAAGTTTTACAGAAAGCTCTCTGACCTTTTCCGAAGAGCTAGGCGCTCGGATGTAGTAATAGTGGCTGGTGACTTTAATGCTCAAGTAGGTAAACTAAACGATAGGGAAAAACACCTAAGTGGATCTTAAAGTGTCGTGGCTCAAAGAACAGATAATGGCTACCGTCTGTTGCAGCTATGCTCAGATAACCGCCTGTTCCTTGCAAATACTAACTTTAAGCATAAGGAAAAACATCTTTTAACATGGCGACCCCCTAATTCGTCCCAACGTTGGACCCAAATAGATCACATCGCTATCAGCCACCGATGGAGGGGCTCGATAGAAGACTGTCGCTCATTCTGGAGCACATGCTTAGATTCAGATCATGCTGTAGTACGAGCGCGTATTTGTCAGCATCTTACTGGACGTAGGAAAGACGCAGGAAGGAAACCTCTTAGGGTCCTACTTAATGATAGTCAAGCTAAGAGTATATTTCAGGCACAACTAGGAAAACAGTTAGGCAGCCATGTATGTGATGCCCACCCCGAGGCAGCATGGAACGTTATCCGAAAAGCTGTGGAAACAGCAGTGATATCTGCTAGTAAGGTAAACCGTAGGATAAGGTAGCAACACTGGATCTCAGCAGCATCTATCGCACTGATAGATGTTCGGAAGCTCATTCCACCTAGCTCTGAACATAATGAAGGGCGGAGCCAGCTTAAGCATAAGCTGAAAAGAAGCCTACGCAATGATCACGAACAGTGGTGGGTAGCGAAAGCAAGAGAGATGGAAAAGGCAGTGGCAATAGGTAATATCAGACAATTGTTCAGACTCGTTAAGGAAACCGGAATTAGGAACCCGACTGTTAGCGAAACAATCTCAGAGAAAGATGGACATATTATTCATTCTCAATCCAGGAGGTTAAACCGATAGGCAGAACACTTTAGGGATCAGTTCAACTGGCCTCCAACCAAACTTCGGTTTCCCACGATCTCGAGTCAACCTGAATGGCAAGTTAATGTAGGTCCTCCGACTGTTTATGAAGTTGAAAAAGCCATAGGAAATCTGAAGCGAGGGAGAGTAACAGGCCCTGACAGGTTTACTCCTCAGATTTTTAAGGATGGTGGTTCAGTATTAGCAGTGAGATTAACTGAGGGCTTAGGTAGAATTTGGGAACTGGACGTAATCCCATTTGACTGGTCTCAATCACTGATTGTGCCAGTCTGCAAAAAAAGACAAAAGTCCTCTTGTGGCAATCACAGAGGAATCAGTTTGACTAATATAGTGTCTAAAATGTTAGCTTCAATAATACTTCGACGCCTAACCAAAGCTCGTGAAGAACAGACTAGAGAAAATCAGGCTGGTTTTCGGCCTGGACGTGGTTGTATAGATCAGATATTCACACTATGTCAGGTTCTAGAACACAGACACACACTCAGACGCCCCACAATGGTAGTATTTCTTGACCTTAAGGCGGCATTCGACTCGGTTGATCGTAAGGTTCTATGGCAGTGTTTGTCACTGAAAAGAGTACCAAAGAAGTACATTAACCTTATAAAGGCTCTCTACTCGGACACAACTGGTAGAGTAAGAGCTTATGGCGAACTGTCATCAGAATTGATCACCTCAAGTGGTGTTCGTCAGGGCTGTCCATTCTCTCCATTCTTGTTCAACTTTGTCGTTGACGAACTTTCAGAGATGACACTTTTCTCGTCTAGATTTCCAGGGGTTGAACTTCTACCGGGAGGTTCACTTGTTGACTTAGAATATGCTGATGACATAGTTTTATTTGGTGAAGACGCTGACAAAATGCAGAGTCTTCTGACCACTCTAAGCAACAATGCAAGCATGTTCGGGATGAGATTCTCCCCCTCGAAATGCAAAATGTTGCTTCAGGATTGGGTTGCATCGATACTCGAACTAATGATAGGGAGAGAAGTAATTGAGTGTGTCGACAGCTTTACTTTTCTTGAAAGTCTCATCAGCTCTTGTGGTCTGGTGTGTGACGAAATCTCAGCACGGATACAGAAGGCTCGACTAGCTTTTGCCAACTTGCGTCATTTATGACGTAGGTGAGATATCCATCTATCAACCAAAGGACGTGTTTACTGCGCAGCAGTTCGTTCCGTCCTACTTTATGGCAATGAAACATGGCCGGTAAGAGTAGAGGGTATCCGTAGGTTACTAGTATTTGATCATAGGTGTCTTCGAAATATTGCTCGCATATCCTGGGACCATCGAGTAAGTAATGCAGTCGTTAGGAAACAGGTACTAGGTAAGGATGGCAAATCAATTGATGACGTAGTGAAACTTCATCAGTTGAGATGGCTGGGACACGTGTTACGTATGCCCAACCACCGACTGCCTTGATGTGCGATGTTTTGTTGTATAGGAGTAGATTGGAAGAAAGCTAGGGACGGCCAGACCAAAACATGGCACAAGTCCATGAAATCACTGACAAGTGGACTGAGTCATATTGGTAGGTGTAGACTACCTGGTTGGGATCCGCGAGACGATAGCAACCGATGGTTAGAGACCTTGAATGACATGGCTCCAAATCGTTTGCAATGACGAAGGTGCATCCACTCTTTGTGTTCTCCCAGATTCTCATCTTGTGAATTCTCCATGTCCCTTTTTTTCTCTTTCCAAATTTATTTCACTGGATTATACTCCTTGAATAACATCTGCAAACCCTAATCTTTGCGATTACTGCTCATACTCTTACTACCTCTACCACTACGGGATTTAAATCGACAACTGCATTTCTGTGCGAATGTGGTATGGCAACTCGAACTGATGTACGTACGTACGAAGTCCTACGTTTTTACTGACTGACTGACTGAATATACCACATGTATTTAGACCACTTAAACATATCATGAACTTTGGTTTAAAATACAAACTATTCATTCTAATCTTGACGAATGTTCGTATACAATTATACTTATATGTATAGACTGTTCAAGACCCGGGAAAGAGTGACTCGCGAGGAGAAGGCTGGATTTCAATCTAGTCAAAGATGTATTGATCATATCTTCACCCTACGCCATGTGTTAGAACACCACCATACTTATTGCAGGTCCATAATCGCAGTGTTTCTTGATATCAGGACCACCTTTGCTTCGTTGGAAAGGACTATTCTATGAGATCATCTGTTGAAGAAAGGTGTGCCTGAGAAATTTATTAACATCTCAAAAGCCATATATAGAGTGAGGGAATACAATCACCGCTCTCCATTGTTCCATTCAATCAGTGGAGTTAGACAGGGTTGCCCAATCTCACTATTCCTTCTCAACTTTGGTGTCTTCATGATGTTGGTCTACCTGTAAAAGGTTGGATCTACGACTCGTCAGTAAGAGCCATTTTACTGTATGCTTGTGAAACCTGGCCTTTCCAAGTTGGGGATGTTAAGCGACTTTGTTGTATCATCACGTTTTCTGAAGGATTGTTGACATACACAGGCAACATGTTAGTAATCAGGAGGTTCGGGGACAGTGACGATCATTCAATCGGTGTCACTGTCTTAAAACATCGGATTCAATGGCTTGGGAATGTTCTAAGGCATTATTTGCCGACGCTGGGACTGGTTTTTTAAGTGGGGGTGGTCAGTATATGACATGGTTTCGTGGTATGACAAAAAGCTCCACAGGAGTGGCTTCCGTCGGACCTTCACGGCGACGTGGTTGGAGTCCGAGAGGTAAACCAAAGTTGCCAGACATGGCTTACAGTAGAAGCCAGTGGCGATCCTGTTGTAACTTTATTTTACTTTTTTCATAAAAGTGGGAGAATTTCTTACACCGAAAGATTACTTTCTGGTTTTGTTTTTCCTAAATGAATTGCTTCTATTATCATTATTTCGTACACTAATTCCTGCCCATTCTGTTCTCTCTTTATACTACACTCGCCTTTTCACTATCTCTCCACAATCTTATTTTTATTGTGCTCCATTGTACCAATGTTTATGCAATTAAATATATTTTAAAAAATCCATAACGCCATAAAGAAAAGACGAAAATAATCAGTGCTAATTATTTTGACACTTTAAAAAACATCATTTGATAAAAGACTAGTCCATTTCACTTGACGAATAAAATTAGTACAAGTTGAACAGCTTATCTCTAACTAAATGTCTACATTAATGAATGATATCACCTGAAAGGTTAGATAGATGCTTTTTTCAGTTTCCGACAACCGAGTGTTTATCACCCACAATACAAAAAAAGGAAAAAACTTATTTACGTTTAGGTCAGCAAGTGAGTTTGACACTGAAGTTTTAAAGTGCAGCATGTTAAACTTCACTTATGCTTTCACACGTTCAACTTTTAGCTTAGTATGAATCAGGTATATGTTTAAATAACTAATTAAATTTCTCAGATTTCATAATAAATACTTACCTGATGTACGGAAAATACGGTGATATGTGGTCTTGTGTAAGAGAGAGGAAATAACTACAAAAAAATCGTGTGAATTAATAAGTAGTGGATACAACATACTGGATGAGCAATCAGTATATATATATATATATATATATATATATTTGTTGTTACCGAATTAGATAGTTAAAATTGTCTACATTTCTGCTGAGTGTCACAAATAACGATAGTTGGCCAGATATCTGCATACGATGATAAATTTATAAAACATGATTTGGTTATTTATTCTCTGAAGAAGTGGCTTACACTAAGTCACGAAACGTCAGAAAATCCTATTTTTCTACTCATTGGGATATTACAAATATATTATTTATTTATGAATATTAAAGATTCCTATTGTGAAAATTAGAACAACATATATAAGCGAACAATTGCTTTCAATTAGATCATCATCAGGCTTTACCCTAATATACATGAATACTTATACGAAAATGTTAAACCAATCAAGGCAATATGGGTCAATAATCACAATGAAATAGAATAAGTCACCACACATAATAGGTAAAATTCATGTTGATAGTAGGAAGACAGGTGTACTGATAGTAGTAAGAATAATAAAATACGATAACAAAAGTCTTATCAACAGTTAAACGTTGGAAATAGAAGGTCAAACGTGGGTAAATAGACTTAGAACTATTGATAAGACTTTTGTTATCGTAATTTATTATTCTTACTACTATCAGTACACCTGTCTTCCTACTATCAACATGAATTTTACCTATTATGTGTGGTGACTTATTTTATTTCATTGTGATTATTGACCCATATTGCCTTGATTGGTTTAACATTTTCGTATAAATATTCATGTATATTAGAGTAAAGCCTGATGATGATCTAATTGAAAGCAATTGTTCGCTTATATGTGTTGTTCTTATTTATTTATTTAAACACATAAAAATTGGTACAAGGAGGCACCAAATAGATATACGCCACATTCGATTTGTGTGAGGGCTGGAATACTGCCCGAGTGCTTAAACCGAAGCGGGTTGTTTTCCTAAGGGGCCACATCCGGAGCCTTCGACCTAAAGGTCTGACCCACAAGGCAGTGGAGTAACGTCAGGAAATGCAGTCCCATGGTAGCCGTTGACAAACGATTGGTTCATACGCCATTTGTACCCTCAGAATATTGGAGCCCATATGTACCATTCGTTTGTAGTTAGGGCTTCCCAATCCTCCTAGGAGGACCTCCCTCATCCGCTAAGCCCGTTAAAGAGCCGGACATTCGCTTTTCGTCCTCTCAATTTCGTAAATAACACACCCACCATGAGAAGGCAGTGAGTAAAAATATCCTGGCAGTGGTTGTATACGCGTAGCCATGCGAGAGCATTTCGAGGAGAGCTGACTTTCCCCACTCTCGGACGTGCCAGGGCATTTGGGGGAATATACTCCGTTTGATAGGTAGCCCATTACCGTATTATGTTCTTAAATGCCAAACTGGCTCACCTTATTAACAACGACTTTTATCGGTTGTCTGTTTAGTATGACTGGTGAAAATTCTTAAATAAATATAGCGATCTACAAAGTCAGCTACCTCATTATTCTTAAACTAAATGAACGCGGAAACTACCCTTGGGTTATCACTCTGTATTCGATGACTACAAAGAATGTCAAATACCCGAGGGTTTTGTTGTGACATTAAACCCGGCTAGTTGTCACGTGACTTATTCGCTAATCGAAATACGACTTATTCAATCTCAGTAATGTGCTAACCAATGATGTTCGAGCGGTACGAGCAGCCTAGCGTCCTTATTGGTCTTTTGTTCGCCTAGTCCGTCCAGTTGAGTTCAAAACGCCAATAACAGCTCCTACTATGCGAATCATTTGTTTCAAACATACTTGGTCTATATACCAGCCAAAAAGACCAAACCACACCATAAAATAGGAAATGACATTTACACAAGATAAAGTCAAAAAGTGACAGTGAACATGGGAGATTGTAATCAATAAACTCAGTATAATTCAAGAACAGTAAATCGTATGGTAATAATCTGTAGGTCAAAATGAAGCTTATAATAAGAGGAATACAGATACACATAATCTATTTACTGAACATTTATACAATAGGTATATATATACATGTAATGTTAGTCCACTAATAGTTCTCAGAAGTTACCCGTAGTTTAATCTTCCCTAGGATATAAGTTTTCGCTAAAGACAGTTGAAGGACCTGATAGGTTGCCAGTATTTTGAATAACAACAGTGATATAAGGGAGTACAACAATTATCTGAGAGAATCCTTCATACAAATTACGTTTGAAAACACATATTAATAATTATTTTTTTAACATCATTATTCAAATCCCTAATAGATGACAGTAAATTGAGTTGCGAATTAACTCAACTCTCAGATTGAGCACTCTTTTACTGAATGCTTTGCTTCACAGTTATTTTCTGATAAAGATAAACTGATAAGTCAAAATTGACAATAACGTGGAAAACAAAATACAATGAAGAATTCTAAACCACCTACCAAGTCGTGACTGCAACAAAGGTGAGAACACACACGAGGATCGGTAACAGATGCAATCCAATGCCGCCTGAACAAAGAAGCATTGATTTAGATATCCCACAAAAATATAGTAATGGGTATAAAAATTGCCTGAAATACAGAATGTATCACGATGTCATTCATAAACAGAACAATCAGATTTTACTTACTTGGTCATTTAGTAACAGACAACTACAAGAATCAGAAAATAATTCGATGAAATTATACGATAGTGCATAAGATCACATAATATTCACCGTTGTGACGTAGTACAAATAAAATTAGTATATTACATTATTTAAATTTGTGGTTTAATGATTTATATGTCCGAAGTGCAACAACTAGGTTCTAATACCATCTGCTTCAGTTTTGGGAGCCAGGTAGCCTTACCAGCATTCACATTAAGTGTAGCTTGAAGCCAAGTACATGAATTCGCACTTGATAAATAAGTTATATCATCACTGGCTGACAAAATACATGAAGAACGGAGTCTGAAAACATACTATTAGTTCAAAAAGAGCCAAATGAAAGCCAAATGCAAAATTGTAAGGAGAAACTCTGCGTATATAGATGAAGTTGGAAACCTATCTGGTTGAAAAACTAGAGACAAACTTAAATTTATAAAAATGATGCATAACTACTTGCACCATCTATAAACCAATATTTATTTAATTTGTGACAACACAATCAATTGTGGTAATTTATTATGAAGTACTTCGATGATAGACTTTGAAACCACTCTATGTAAATTGAGAACGAAGACTTCATTTCCTTAGTCGATCTAGTTAACCTAGCTATGGTGAGATTAATAAAAAGAAAAATTCTGAAACATAGGAGTTACAAACAGTAACAATCCCAAAAACTATAGCTTAAGCTATCCTATGTTCATGATCACAGTATATCCTAATACTTCATTTAATACTCGCACAATTTGTTAGCAGCCGATATTTAAAAAGCTCCAACTATCATGTGTTATAAACTGCAGGACAGTCACTAGAATTCTACGAACAAAAACTTCACCAGCTTTGACAAAGGTAACTGAATTGTAAACTAAACGCCATACTGGTGTATGAAACAAGACAGTTAGTCGTAAACCCTAAACTGTACATGTCACTAAATAAATTCCCATTTAGAACTAATTCACACTTTTGCTTCAAGAGCTGGCGTACTAACCAGTTACTAAATTAAGTCGGGAGAAATAATAAATTAAACAAATTCGCGACTACTGTAAATACTCCGCGTAAACAGTAAGTTGTAAAAATGCAGGACCGCACCCATTATTTGGGGTCATAACAGAAAAGCTTGATGATGATTATTTGGAATAACAAATCTGGTACACATGAAATTTGTTACCATGTCCAGGAACTCTACACTTTAAACGAACCCATGTAGTTATGATAAATCCCAGTGTTATTAAGGAGCATACAGAGTATAACTTGAATACATACCAGCTCTCATGAAATTTCACTTTTAAAAATTCATAGTAAGGTATTCATTAAGTGCGACATTTTGCGAAATGAATGGACTAAAACTAACTGGTCCCAACTATAAGGTATCTATATTCAGTGGTTACCGGTGTTTAGTTGCGCAGAGGACATAACTCTGACAAAATACCGTTTTACGTGACAGAAAACACACTGAGTATAGTCATGAGGTCATGATCATTTTGGGAAAAATTCACAGGTCTGCACTTTCTCCTTGGTTCAAAATATAACTCCATAACTTCTCGGAACAGCGCCATCTACTGGTTTATTTCCTTTTTCCAAACCGCGTTTTTATGGCTAGTGCAGCCCATAAGCGTGGGTTGTGATCACGTAAAACAGCACCACCACTACAATCCACAAAGATACACATTTGAGTTGTAACAGTTGAAAATTTACGTATTGTGCTTCGGAAGCAAAGGTGATGATGGTTGAGACGTTGTTGGGAAAGTGCTTTGCCAGTGGTTCCTTCAATAACAACAGCCGTACGAAAGACTACTTACGCTGTGCACTTTAAGTTAAGTTACTTAGCTATACACTTTTAGAGTCAGGGTCACAGTGATATACAGACATTCAATATATAACATTTACAGACATCTTGGCTGAGAAGCTAAAGACGTTCATGACGTGCAGTTCTGATTCAGTCGGAACTATGCCATCCAAAATTTAAATTAGCGAGAGGCTGTGAAACCACTATTAATTCACGAAGCAATCACACGTGGTATTAAATTTATGAATATGAACTGAGCGAAGATTGAAGGACAAAAACATTACGTAACAAAATTTTTCGAATTATAGACTGAGAGATTAGCTTTAAAAGATGTTAATCAAACGTGACCTCCCTATTTTAGAGAACCTTTGAGGAATTTTATGGTTTTCCCCAGTATTGGGAAATTTTCGGGAAAACCCCAGTGTTATAAGATTCTGTGGAAATATTGGAGAAAAACAAAATATTTTCCCCAAAACTTTCGTGCGTTTCCCAAAAAGCTTGAGGATTTTTCCCAATTCCCTAGAGTTTTCAATTGTGTTTTCTCTAGAAGTTTACCCAAAACGGACAAAAATCGCCCTATATATGGGGATTGAGAAGTATTAGGTATATGCTGAAGCATTATTTTGCGGCCGCGATACAGTCCAAGTATCTGATCAAAGTTCAGAAACTTCTCAAACAAAATTTAATTACATGCATTATGAGCAAACAGATATAACCGAAGAAAGCACTTGCAAAAGTTTTCGATAACGTCGATAGATTTTTGTAAATTGGACAACCTTAGAACACTAATACTACTAAAATTTTCTGGACAGACATGATAGAATAGTAAGTGTAAAAAAAACGAGAACTCCCAACTAACCTCGAGTTTTTTATAATCCGCTGACTGGATAACCCAAGTGTTATCGTTGTTAGGAAAAGCTAACTGCTCAATGTCCATCATCGAATTCAATACGCCTGTCAGCCCTTATCTTGATATTATCTGGTATGTAATATTCTAGAAGAGGTCGAGCACAAACTTTGCACACTAGAATACGTGACTCATTGTTGTAAAGGTTTCGAGTTATGTAACCTATTAGACGTTGAGACTTAGAGGTCTGTTTTAATATCTGTTCTGTAAACGACAAGTCTTAGGAGTATCTAAGTACTAAGTCTACTACTGTATGTAACCTAGATAACACTTCTCCATTTATGGTAATGTCTAGGTTGAGTGATGTATCACCGAAGCATATCCATCCACATTTAGCCGTATAAGCTCCAGTTGCCATTTTAAACACCACCGTGCTACCTTGTTAAGCTCCATGCTGATGCAATTTTGCATATTTTTCAGCTCATGTGAAGAACATGAATAAACTGATTTAAGATAATCCGCATATAGAAGGGGCTTACCCACACAAAAACTTTCACAAATATAATTGATAAACACTAAAAAGCGCAAAGGGTTTAAGACACAACCTTGTATTACACCACTTCTAACAGGGACAGCGTTAGACAATGAAGAGTTAATTCTAACTATTTGATATCGATTACTGAGAAAGGAATCAAGCCAAGAAAGCAAAGGATTTTGAACCCCATAAGATACGAGCTTACCTATAAGAAGTTGGTGGCCAACCATGTCAAAGGCTTTAGAAATGTCCAGATATAGCACTAAGACTAGATATCCTTGGCTACGTAGATAATAGACTAAATTAAAGAAGTCAAAATGACAGAGGAATCTAAACAAGAGTTAACGATCAGATAGAATTCGTTGATAGCATCCATGAGAATATTACATAAAAAAAGTTATCCCAGCCTGAAAGTTTAATCAATGAATGCAGGAGGTCCCAGTCAGCATGCTTATAGTCTCTATATTGACTGGTTTTTTGAATGGGTCGGTTATAAGAGGAATAGATAGGGACAGCACAAACTACTATCTTATGGTCGCTGCTTTCAAATTCATCGTAAACTTTTACAGATAGTGGGATAACATCTCTACTAAATATTAGATCGAGTATACTAACGCCTCTAGTTGGGGTACGAACCCACCGTGACCAGCAGTGCTTGTTAATGGATGCCGAGAACTCATCATCACATAACTGACAACTACCGGTACTCCAGTTAATCCCAGGGTGATTGAAATCTCCAGTGATAAAAGATGCATGTATGAATGCATTGACAATAAGATCATCCCCATTATTCGAACTATCAGGAGCTCTGTATATAAATCCAAGGAGTAGACTATGATTTAGGGTGTTGACTTATATCCAGACTGATTCTGGTAAACTATTCAGGACACTATCTTCAACTTTTTTGGTTGTCATGGTATCCGAAGCAAATATAATGCAACCACCTCCTCGTTTAGTTCCTCTGACACAGCGAGAGTCGATAGTTCTGGACATTTAATTCTCAACCAGATACTGCTTGAGAGCATCATGTTTCAGTGTCAAGTATGAAAGAAGGCTTGGCTAGAAAAACTAATGTTCTCAATGCTGAAATTTTGTTCAGAAGTGAATGTGCATTGATAAGTAATAAGTTTAAAAAGAGAGTATGGAGTGTAAAAAAACCGATAGATTCCCTATTGATGTTCTGCATTTCCGATATACATAGACTATGGTTTATTATGTTTGACTGACCATATGGGCTATCGCTTGAACAAACTGTAGTGCAAGTGGGACCAGGAATTTTCGAAGGCCAAAAAATCATTATTTTTATAAAGTGGATTAATTTGTTGAACTTGACTAGGCGAACAGTTAAGAAAAGCACCTGCCAGATGGGGTTGGGTTGGTGGTCAGTAACCTAGTAATCCATCTTGTCCAATGGGAAAAAATTGAGAAAAGTTACGTCTTACAGGTTTGTTATTTAAAACATTTGAGGGTAACCGTGGGACACGTCGGCTCACTGTGGTCTGTCCAATATTAGGCCGGCTCACATAATGATTGCAATGGTCGTCTTGTGGGACATTTGAATGAAGCCTGCCCTTATAACCTCCCCTGCGTAGGGTAAAGCATGGTGTTGGGAAGTATAATCTTATTTTATTTTTTAGGGCCTTCGTAATGTTCTTGTTATTGGGTCTAGAACCAGGTTCTGTACATACATTTTTCTTACGTGGCATAGACTTTTCAGTCTTGACAGTGTTTTTAAGAGCTGTCGCATTAGGACTAAGTATTTGCTTATGGGCTTCGAATGGTAAATTGGAAAATATCGGATTAGTGTCGTCATTAAATGTGCATTGGTTATCAGGTCAAGTTTAAATAAAAACAACAACTCTAGCTAACCATTTTTGAACCTTTTGTTATAACTGTGAGCTAAGTGGTATATGGAATAAATCAGGGAAGCAAGATCTGTAACAACATCAGCTGATTGGTTAGGAGTTTGTCGCGAACATCTTAGTAATGTCGAAATATTATAGTTCAAGTTATCATTCA